AATTGAATTGTCTGTTTTTATAAAAAAATTTTAATATTAATTTCAATATTAGAGTCTAATTAAATAAAAACAATTGAAAATATATTTAATTATATAACATGGTAATATAACATGAATGATATTTATATCAATAATATGATATGATAAATATAACATTTCAAAATTTTTTCAATTGCAAATATAATATAACTCCCAGAAGGAAAAGGTTTCTTTATTGTTGTTCTCAAAATAATTTGGGCTTTTATTACAAAGCCCAAAATAATTATTTTTTGCATAGCGGGTTACAGTCTTTATATTTAAAATCAACCTTTCTTAATAACCCATGCAACACAAATCCTTCTTTTGTGATATTTAGTTGTATTTTCTTTTGTTGAGTTTTTCATATTATTGTTGAATATAATACTCAGAGCAGTATTTCCCAATTAAAATAATTAACTTAAATAAATCGAACAAATTTTATCGACTTTACGACACTAAACAACAATGAAAATTGTTAAATTTTGCTACAGAATAAAGCAACACAAACGTTTTTGAAATGAGGTGATCCATGTTTAAAATGTTTGTACTTGACATTAAAAACACGACAAAACATATAAAACATAACTTAACATTTGTTTTGTTTATACAATTAAAAATTTAATTGTTAAAAAATATAAATAAGATATAAATTTTTAATTTTTATTTTAGTATTAATATTAATATTTTTAACTATCATAATTTAACTGATATAACCCATTGTTTATTATTATTATTATTAGGTTTTAAACTATTTGTAAAATTATTTAAGTTTAACTATATCATTTAAATCAAAGTTGACTTGTGTTAATGTATTCGAAATATATATATACATATATTATTATAAAGTTGGTTATGTCTTCAATTGTTGTGTTAATAACTATGTTATGTGAATACTTATAAATTGTGATAAAAAAATTGTTTTAAAAACGAATATATTTCATGAAATTAATATAACATAATTAATAAATACAATGATAAACATTTAAACTATCAATTCACAATATCAAATAATTTTTATTTTTTTATAAATTATATATAATTTCTTGTTGACTTAAACAACAATTTAAATGGGGTTTTGTCATTGTAATTTTTAGTACAATGATTTGAATATCGAATTTTAGTGGTCAAAACATAAGAGTGTAATTGATCCTTTATTACATATCATTGTTCTTATAATTATTACAATCGTTTTACGATTTATTGTTTCCTGAATATATTTTGTTGTTTTGATTTTTGACCAAATTTTACACACATCAAAGTTGACTTTAATGAGGTTGATATTGTATCGTGTTATAATACATTTAATAATATCCATCTCTTCCTTAGTAAATGAAAAAGTAAATAAAAGTTAAAGTTTTTCATATTTTTTTATTTAAAATATATTAAATTATGTGGAAATAAATATAAAAATGTCGAGTTTTTTAATCAATATTATTTAATTGTTTTACTTTCAATTATTTACTTTTTAAAATTTGTATTCTTTTATTTGTTTGAATTTTATAATATTTAATAATATTGTTTATAATTTATTAAAAATTATTGATTTTTATGTTTTTCAATCAATGATAAGTTCAAATTATTTTATGGCATTCATTATATCTGTACATCGAAGTCTCATCATCGCTATTTTCAATAATAGTAATTAATGTGTAAATAAATTTTTAAAATCCAAGTATATAAATTTGGTATAGGTTACCCGAATTTTACAATTAAAAAATAATAAATTTGTGTTCTTATCAATATCCAGTGTTATTTGTATTTTAAAGATTATTAATAAAAAATAATATAAACAAAAATAACAAGTCAAAAACCAATGATTTCATATTAATATCTTGGCCAATTCTTCCCTGAAAGTCAGTGCTTCATCATTTTTAAAAAGATTTTTAATATCTTTAATGGACTGTGGATTACTTCGAACAATGCAATCAACGAAGTACAACATGTAAACTCCACAGTCCACATTGTTAGTCTGTTCGGGAACTTTGATAGTTGTAACGGGATATCTCCCCCTCGAATTAAAAGACACTCTCAGTTGCCTTTGGATTGTTTCTACAACCTTGGTATGGGGAAGACCTCCACAACTGTCGAGATACAATAATCTGGAAATGGAGGTCTTTCCAATACCCTTAATTTTTACACTCGTTAGAATGTAAAGAGTCCAGTGAGCCCCCTCTACCTCCAAGTCGTTGTAAGGCAAAAACACATAATTGAAATTTATCCATTCGGGTTTTAACCACCCCTTGGGATTAGGGCAATCACTCATCATCCCCGTTAATACTTGTGGATCAACCAACACCCAATTTTTGTAAACTGAATACTTTTTAAGGTATTCACCAAACATAAAAAGGGCCTCATCTCCAATCTTGCCACGAAGCACCCCCTCCCGTTCATCTGCTGACAACCGGGGCCTTAACAACGTTTCCTTCTTTTCTTTTTTGCTCAGATCTGCCTTTTTAACAAATTTG